ATGAATGTTGAACTTATGGGGACTGGTACAGTCCTGGCGAGACTATTAGGAACCCGCCTACGTAGGTTTTCATTCGTTTCGATAATATGCATTTTTGATTTAAATACCGCTAGATTCCGGAACTCAACCACTGTGCGGCGGTGCAGCGGCAGTGGCCGGCCCGGCCGTCAGTGGCGCGACATGCGATAACGAACCTCTGGGACTGCGAAACTACATGCTGCGTAGTTTACGGTGCTCCCCGGAACAGCTGCGAGGCAACCAACGGTTAAGAAAACCTGCGGGCGACCCCAGTACCAGAACGGTATTTTGCGTCTCGTGTAGACTCCACCGTCCAAGGTGCTTCTGTCAAGTAAACTCGTCTGTTTCACTCGTGAAATCAATAACGGCGAAGAATTCCCGTTGTCAGCCAAGCTAATTATCTATAAAGTATAAATATATACTAATAAGAATACTACTAAATACTAAACTAATAACAAATACTCATTTTCACATTATGAAGGCAGAATGGACTCACATGGATAATATTCTTATGGAACAATCTCGTGCATTATTATTACCAAATCGATTGTTGCAAGGGTATGTGTATCTCGTGCTACAGAATGGCACAGACTTTCTCGACTATTTCCTTTGCTCTCGGCTAACTATTCGGACTTACTACATACCCTTGCCAGCTGCCATCTATTGTCCAAAGAATTTTTTTAAAAATTATTAAATTTTCCTAATTGTAGAACAGAAACATTCTTTTAAGAATATTAAAGAACAATAAAAACTCGTCCTAAATGGCAATTATCGTTCAAAAATTTGGAGTTTTTAAGAAAGTTTTAAGTTTGAGCGCTATTGTAAATACGAAATTTGAACTATTGAGTTTTAGAAAAACTTAATATAACGTTATTTCAAGCACTCAGTCACAAAGGCAATAATGTTTACATATCTCTGGAAATGCGCATATTAAAGGCGAGAGATATTAAAAATTACATTTGTGTAATTTTTGAAAAACGAAAGAATACAGCAAAATTAATTCTCATGTCATCTTAAACAGTGCAATTAGCACTATGTCTTGGAAAAAGTGGAAGAAAAAAAATTGGAGCAGTTTTTAAGAAAATGGGTTTCTTGTGTTCCTGAAAATGCTGATTTTTGAGCTCACAGAAAACTGTTGAGTTTCTTAGAAAACTGTTGAGTTTTCGAGAAACTTTATCTGACATTATTTAATGCACATGAACTCATAAATACTTTAGTGTGCACAAATTGCTGCTAATGTAAATACTAACGACGTGAGAGTAAAAATAAAAAATAAAAATTGTATTTTTTAATAAAACAAAAGATTATAGCAATATAATTAAATTTTAAAAAAAATTACACGATATTATTGAAAGTACTAAATATAGAGAACAAACTTAATTTGAAGGAAATATCTCTATCTTCAATGTTGTACTTATAGGAAGACACGGAACAAATTCAAACTTTTTTAATTTTCGTAAATTTAGACTTAACTGTGATATTTGGACATACGCCACGTATTATAACTGAATTTTGCTCTATTCTCACAAGAAATTCAAAGAAAAAATGGGAGCCGTTTTAAAAAAAATGCTTCTTGTGAAGTACCTCCAAATTTTAAAGAAAGTTTTCAAAAATTCGGCGCCTCGAGTGGAGCCAGGTCGACTGGTGAATATCAATTTTGGAGAAAAAAAACGCACGTATGGTTTAGGCACTGGTGGTGTTTACAGACTTACGGATGAACAGATGAACGGACGTTTTGCCGTCAATTTGTTTTTCGGTGTAAAGGACCCACAAAACAGGGAATACAGGCTACACCGCGTTAGAGGATTTTTTTCTTTTCCGTATACGTACGATTTTACTGAGTAACATACGTAATATTGGGACATAACACATAAGTAATATTGGGAAAGTTATGTAATGTTGCAGAAAATCATTTTGGAGATTTCAACTGAAATGCACATTTTGGGGTCCGCAGATACCGAAATATTGTTTTTGTTGTTGTTTTTTTCCTTTCAAAACATCCGTCCGTCCGTCTGTCCTGTGTTTGTGAACACTACAAGAGCCTTGCACCATGCATAGGATTTTTTCAAAATTGAGGAAACCCCTATCCATCTGGATGAAGTCAAAACTGCTAAAGAAAACCTTTTTTTTTTCTGCCGAAAATCTGCAGTTTTTCCTTGAATCAATAAATAACTTTCCATATACTACTTACATTACTCCGTATACACGTAAGTATACGGGAAAGTAAAAACAACTTTTTAAGTGTCAGGAGACCCAAAAAGTGTAATTCCATTGAAATCTCCGCATCGATTTTCCGCAGCATTACATAACTTTCCCAATACTACGTGTATTACTCCGTATATGTTAGGTACAGGAAAATAAAAGCTATTGTCCTGTCGTGAAAATGACGGTGAAAGCAATGATAATCATGAAAATGTGACATTCAGTTGCTTTTTAAAAAAATAAAATAATGAAAACGCTGGGTTTCTGTGGAACTGACTTTTTAAACACTTTTTTATTCAAACAGTTAAAACATATCCAAGTAGTGGTGCTACAGAGTGGCACAGACTTCTGGTATCTATTTGGTTTTATAGTATTTTTGGTCTGGTGTCGCTTTTCGGTCTTGCCCCATCCGCTTGCCAGCTGCAATCTACCGCCGCCGGAAGTACATTTTTAAAACTATTTTCTCATTTTGTCGGTTTCCTAATGAGAAATGTAATATTACTTTAAGAATATTATAGAACGAACTTGTTCTATAATGATATTTCCGTTAAAATCTTTGGAGCCGATTTTAAGAAAATTTCGTTTAAGCATTACTGTAAATGCAAAATTTGAAGCTCCTTTTCACAAATATTTTTTGTGTTTAGAAAACACTCATTCGAAGTCATTTGAAGCACATCCACTCTCAAATATAATAATGTATACAAATTGTTCGAAAGATACCTAATAAAGGCGTGAGAGGTATTAAAAAAATACTTTTGTGTAATTTTTGAACAAAAATATACAGCAAAATTAATGTTATATCATCTTAAACAGTGCTATTAGCACTATCCCCATGAAAAGTTGGAAGAAAAAATTGAAGCTGTTTTTGAGAAAATAACGTTTGAGCGTTTCTAAAAATGCGAAATTTTGATTTCGTTTTCACAGAAAACTTCTGAGATGTCGGAAAACTTTATTCGACATTATTGTCATACATAGTCACGCTAATGTAAAAATTATCGACGTGGGAGGCTAGTGAAAAAATATAATTTTTATAATTAAAGAAACAAAAGAATAAATCAATATGGCATGCATATCATCTCAGAGAGTACATTTATCACTATCCATGCCAAAAGTTTAAAGAACATTATGGAGCTGTTTTGGATTTTTTTTTTTTTTTTTTTTTTTTTTTTTTTTTTTTTTTTTTTTTTTTTTTTTTTTTTTGTATTTTCTACTTTCTCGGCCTTAAGAAGGAACTTCTTAACAAGAGAAAGTTATGTAATGATGCGCGAAAAAACTGCGAATTTTCAGCAAAAAACTCTTTTATTTCATAAACCTGGTAACGAAAAGGTTGATAAATCCAGTTACTAATTTAGAAATAAAAACCTCTAATACGTGTTGTGGCCTGAGTTCATGTTTTGTGAGTTCTTGATATCGAAAAGTCGATTGACGGCAAAACGTCTGTCCGTCCGTCTGCGGCTTAAATGTTCAGCCGATTTTCTCTAATTGATATTCCTATATCAATCTGGCTGATGTCCTTGAAATTGAAATCGATATTTTATTTTGAAGGAAACGATAAGTGAAGGGACATTTTCAAATGTTTAAAAGAAATGGTTTCATTGTTTTTGATTAAATTATTTTGTTGAATGGTGTAAAAAACGTTTACGAATATGGTGCAAGTCTCATGTTCGTTGAAAACCCTTATTTTTCGAAAATTGCAAATGTTACTACAACTAAAATATTAAAGAGATATTTTTTTCCCTTTATAAATTGGGTTCGCTAAAGATAGATTTTGAAATAAGTGCATGTACAATTTTTTCAAAAGTTTGGTTCGCGTAATCTTGCTTGAAAATTCTAGTAAGAAAGTACGTGCTATTTTAGCACCACTAGTTCTTCCATACATTCCTTCCAAATTTGCTGTAATAAAGAGATTTTTGGGATAGCTGTATGTTTACAGGCGACAACAAAAGAGATAATGGATTAGGTAAATAATTTGATGTCGTTTGATTTGTCATTTTATCCTTCATCATAAGCTATTTTACCCACTGGTCATAAACATGTACTCGTTCATCCGCACATCCGCATTTGCTGACAATTTGAAGGAGCCCTGGGAGAAAGTAGTACGCATTGCATTTCAAACAGATGCATGAAGAGAGAGGATTTTTATGTCCTAAATATTCTTGTCTCTATTTTAACGAAATAGGCACACTATTCGCCTAATTACAGGAATATGCACCAACAGGAAAAGTTTGCCAAACATGCACCAATATGTACTAATATATTAATACATATCTAATCAATTGTCAAAAAAATTCACTTAGCTATGGAATGAAGACGAACAAAAATATGCAATATCATAGAAATCCGCTTTATTTATATATATATATATATATATATATATATATATATATAATAAATGAGATTCTTCAACAATCAGGATAACGAAGGAAGGAAGGATGAAATAGTTTGGATTTTAATTTTTACATTTACTAAATATTCTGTGGATGTTCATCATGAAAAACATTCCTATGTTTGTGGAAGTTTACGACACAAGTATGACAACCGTAGCTTTTGGTGAAAATTTTCTCTTTTCTTGTGGCCACGGTTCTGTGTATCTGCCGTGGACGAATTCATTGTGTAAAGGAACTTTGGTGACTCGTCGATTATTCATTCTGGAAAGTCACCTGACAATCGTCCTGGAGGTCATTGCCGTGTCTGTTGTACTCGTTAGTCTGTTGAGTTGAAGGCGTAAGGAACTTTAGACGTAAGGTATCGCCGCCTGTGTAATTGTTGCTTTGTTGCAGATTGACGTCGGTTATGGGAGATTTGGTTTCTCGGAGTATGCGCAACATGGCGCATTTCTTGTATGACAGCTTCGTTTCGGGTGAGCAGATTTTCGGATTGCACGTAGTGCGTATAAATCGTGGTGAATGGGTTTTCCTCAGGCATATTATTCTCTTTGTAGGTTTTAGCGCTCTACATATTGTTGATTATTGAATTTTGGCGTAATGATCAAACAAATAGTGACATTTCTGGAGGACACTTCATATACCGGACTCTGCTGATCTCACCCGAAACCGAGTTGTTGTGATTTTTGTTGGTTAAGGTCAGCAACGCAATTGTGGCATGCTTCATGTTATTTAATTGTGAACACTATCAGATATGTTCATTCCTGTGATATTGTGGATGTGGGAGTGCGGCAACCTCGTGTGGATTGTGACTGCTTCCGCCCTTTTCCTTATTACTGCATATTTTATAACAAGTAAGCATGTTCACGTGTGTAAATTTCTTTTTTCTACTCCCATTGTATAATTCTGTTATTTGATGGCTGCAACCCGTTGCTTAATGGTACTCATTAGGATACAGATTTAATTATGATTCAGATACTTCACCAATCACAGAAAAGTTTATAAAACAAGTATTGACACTTAATTATTGAGAATCGTTCTAGTGAATGTTTCGTTCGATTGTGTACATAACAATTGCATTTAATATTAGTCAGTTGGTCATGTAATGTTAGTCAGCTTGTCAGTTTTAATTTCTTTCATTATTACTATTTTTACGTGGAATATTATTTCAAATATATTGTATTGTAATTTCACTTGATCTTATTTTATTAACGCAGTAGTGTTGTTGGAGAACATTTGACTGACGTTAAGATCTGAACGCGACATTTTGTGTTATATGTTGCTGCTGTATGGTTGTCCTTAAAGAACGGGTAATTCTTTAGTTAAAGTGAAAATATATTCCTTTAGCAAGTTAAAACATAACTTGTGTGCCCCCTCGCAGGCGCACTGGTAAACCAAAGCGACCTGCGGCAGGGTAGGGTAGGGAGCTGAAGTTTAACTTATAAAAGTGACCATATGTCGTAGAAGAAGTACCGTATGAAACTCGATGTAATGGCTCTTAATACACTCGTGTGAAGTTAACGATACTCGCTCGTATCGTAATATCACCATCGTGTGTTAATACCCATCATTACATCATCCCTTCATAATGTACTATTGCATATGTTACTGTCTCCTGACATATTGAGTTACAGTGTGCGTAAATTTCGCTCACTCATAATTTTGCTTTGTTTTGGGAAACTCATTGAACTAATGGTGCAACAGAATGGCACAGACTTTCCCGTATTAGTTTTATATTTCCTTTGGTATCGGCTAGCTATTGGAATTTGCCACATACTCTTGCTTGTTCCCATATATCGCCACCCAAAGTACATTTTTTGACATTTTGTTAATTTTTCGGTTTCCTAATACAACCTAAATTTTAATTTAAGAATATTAAAGAACCTTGTTCTAAATAACGTTCTTTGGAGATATGGAGATGAAGATTTGGAGACGTATTTAAGAAAATGGCTCTTCAGCGCTTCAGTAAATTCAAATTTTGAAGAAATTTTTCACAGAAAATATTCGAGTTTTCGAAAAAATTCATATGAGGTCATTTGAAGCTCTTTTACTCGCAAAATCAATAGTGTTTACAAATTGCTGAAAATTTGCATATTACCGGCGTGACAGATCTTTCAATAAAATAATAGAGTAATCTATGGAAAACAAAAAAAAATCCCCGAAATGAACTTTACGTCATAATAACGTGTGCAATTAGTACTATTCGTTCGAAAAGTTAAAAAAAATGGAGTGTTTCTTTTCTTTTTTTCTTTTTTTGGAGAAAATGGCATTTGAACGTTTTTGAAATTGCGAACTTGTGAGCTAGTTTTGACAGAAAACGGTTGAGTTTTAGAGAAGCTTTAGCTGACCTTAACTTAAGCAATTATTTTTAATAAATATAATAATGTGAACAAATTTCTGCTAATATAAATATTAACGACGTGAGGGACAAGTCAAAAATTACATTAGACATTAAAAAATGACACAAAAAACAAAAATGGAGCAATATGTCATTTATGTCATTTCATAGAGTGCATTTAGCGCCATCCCCAAAGATTGAAAAAAACATTTGGAGCCGTGTTTGAGAAAATATTGATTTTGTAAATTTTTAAAATTGCACAAATTACACGCAGTATTGCGCGAAAACTACTATTTTTTTTCTTCAAAAAATGCACATGACTTAAATGAAAGAACAAATTGTGCACAACAAATTTAATTTGAAAAGAAATTCTGTACCTAATTTTGTAGTTGTACGAAGACCTCGAACAAAATTCAAACGTTTGAAAATTGCCAAAATTCAGAGCTAACCGTGAATATCGGACCTATGCCACCTTTATAAGTGTATTTTACTCTACTATTACAAGAAATTTAAAGGCAAAAAGTGGGAGTAATTTTTGAAGAACAAAAATTGAAAATGTCCCGGTGACATCATGTAAAGAACTCCCGAAAATTAATGAAAGATTATCAAAATCGCAGAGCTTCGACTCAGCCCTTAAGGTCACGGATCTCTTCAATTTGGAAAAACGCCTGCGCATGGCAAAGGCGCTAGTGTTGGTCACATACACCAGACAGACGGAGGGACGTTTTGAAAGAAGAAGAAGAAGAAAAAAAATATTTTTTTTTCGGTATCATGGGACCCCAAAAGTTATTTACGTTTAAATTTCGAAATTGATTTTTTGCAGCATTACCTGAACTTTGTCTATTCTAAGTATATTACTCCGTACGAATACTGGAAAGTAAAAAGGATTCATTATCAATCAATTTCTTGTGTTGAATGTGGAAGTGGAAATTTATCGCATAAGATAAGTGACTTGCCTCATGTAACAGCTGCAGTCTATTACTCGTTCTCATATTGCACTATTGCTTGTATCCTTGAAAATACTAACACGATTCCTGTAAAGATAATTATCAGTCATAATGGAATAAAAAAATTATGTTGCATGTTTTTCTTGAACATATTGTTCACGTGTTGAACACGTTCACAAAATGAAGTACTAGATTGAATATTTTGAATTCAAGAAAAGGAAATGGTTTTGACATACATTGTGGTCACACGTAATCGACCTAGTAATATTCGCCGGCAGAAAAGTGGTGTCTGCAAACTGCATAACATGAAAAGATAATAATGAGATTCTGTACATTAGCCGCAAAATTATCATATCCTAAACAAGAGAAGAAATCAGATATAATTATTGAAATAGATCGTGAATACTTTTTGGCAATGAAACGCGACGGACTGAACGAATACCACCAGTATTAATGGAGCTGTACGAGAAATTATCACCATTTAAGACCGAAATCAGATCTTTTCGTATTGTGGGAGGTGGAAGCATTGGATTAATTATATAAAAATTTATTATTGTAATTATGGACTATGACATTACATTATTTGCTCTTCGCCATAGCAAATTAAGATAATAAATAAGTACTATTTAATATTTTAAGTATTGACCAAAGTATTTCGGGTGGGTGGCTGACCTCCCCTGATCATTCCTCTGGTTACGGTATTAGAACGGTCCTGAATAAACTAGACTGTGTAAAAGCTGCATGCGTTTTGTGAGAGTATCCCGCGGTCGCGCCGTGGGAAGGGGCCCTAAGCTTTGGGTTCCGTCTCGTTCGCGCGGTGAGTGCTGCGGGCGTGGCGAGCCGCCCTCTCGACTGCTTTGCCCCTTGCCCAGGTACCGCCCCCGAATCCCCCGCGACTGCCTCCACCGCCACCGCCAGCAGCAGCAGTATCACCACCACCACCACCACCAGCAACCACATGGAGGGCGGCGAGACGACGGCAGCTCCGGAGCCCGGAGCGGCCAATGCCGTCAACTTCATCGTGGGCGATGCGGAGGGTAACGTGGCCGAGGAGGACGCGGACACGGAGGCGGGCGCGCGCCTCGACGCCGCGGAGGAGGCCACCGACGTCTTCCCGGAGTTTGGTTCCGCCGCCTCCACGGGCGGCCGCACCCCGTCGCGCGAGGGCAGTGCTTCCAACAACCTTTACAACATGTTCGCCCTGGCGGAAAAGCGCAAGCGCCTCAGGTGAGCCCAAAGGCCCTTTAAATTAGTTTAATTTCTATTGTTTTATTTAAATATTTAGGGTTTTTTGAAAATTTTGATTCATAATATATGATGTAACTTTATATATATATATAGCCGTTGGTTATTTAATTCACCCTCCACGCTTGGGAAGTTTCATTTATGACATTCATCGCCGGCAATCTCAGAATTTTTAGGGATTTCCTGTTTTGGTTGCATGGAAGCAAGTGTTGTTAGAATCAGGAAAAAAAACATTCACTGCCATCATGAATAACATGTACTTTAATTTACTGAATTTAAACTACAAAACTGTTTTCACTTTCTGTGAGCTTAACACCATACACTAACATTTTAAGACTAAATTGTTATAAGATGTTAAAGAGTTTAAAAATACCAAAGCGCAGCTACTCCGAATCGTGCAGAGATTATTATTACAAATTTTCCTGTTCACTCAGGATCATTCAAGAGCCTTATATTTCTGTGATTTGCTTGGAGAGGATTTTGTTTAACTCTGAGCATGGTTTACAATACATCACCGTATTCCTCGTTGCAGCGCCTTTGCATTGATACGTCTTCAGGCGTATGTCGGTCGATTAGCGGGTTCCCATCGGGAAAGCGAGGGGCGAGTAATGGGTTTGGCTAGATTCGTGATGCTAGGTTGGCCGGACGGGCGCCGTTATTGAGCGGATATATAATAATATATATTATATATATATATATATAATATATATATATATATATATAATTGCTTTTATATTATCAAGTTCTAAACGATTTGTAACATGTGTTACAAATCTTCTGAAGTTTAAGTTTATTGTAGTGTAAAGAAATGATTTTATAATTACTGTAGAACTGAACAAATAATTATTGAAAAAAATTGTCGAAATGAAACGTTTATTGCACTGGTAACTAAGGTGTATATCACATGTTTATGTAGCAGTAATTTTCACAGAGGAACTTGCAAAATCGGTAATTTTTTTGCCGTAAGGAGCTGAATCTGCTTGATGATGCGATCGCTGCGCTTCGATATGTTACTATTGTCTCACATCGCGCGCTATGTTGCATTGCGTCTGGTAATCCTATAGATGTATTTGTGTATGTACGGTACCTTTTTCGGATAATCCGAACATTTCCGAATCCGAACAGCCCAAGACTTCAATTAGTTCGGAATATCGAGTGTGTTTGTAAAACATAGTGTTTTTTCAATAACTAAATTTCATGAATATACATTGGACGCACTCTGAGAAAAATAATCATATAAAATAATCAATTTAGACTCTTTGGCTCCCCTTACGGCGGCTACATACATTCGGCATTCGGCGCATAGGGAATGACCGCTCCCCGAATCTCGAGTAGTGGATGTGTGTTGCATGCTATTCGCAAAGCGCGTCAAACATACGTTGCTCGCCGGATCTGCAGAGTATTGATCTTGTGTGCATGTCAAAGGAAGCGAACATTAGCTATAGCTCGGCTACTCGGGATTGGGCGAACAGTCGCTCGCTAACTCGCTGAATGCCAGGCAGCCTTTATGTCCTCTTCTTGAGTGACAAAAGCACAACGCGGCGCGGTGTGACTGAGTGCTGATGACTTGTCACTATTAATTCATGTGGTATTCACGCAGCTCGCTTGTACGCATTTCCTGTTATTCTCAACCAGCTGATTATATAAACTAGTTATTATATTTTGTGACAATGATTTTTTTATTGTGAACATTTTATTTCGCAATAATTTCACCACTTTCGTGAATATATTGTTCTCATACGTGGGCCACTTTTTCGTGTGTTGTTTTTCTTACATTACAAATATCCCGTCGATGTGGGGAATATATAGCATCACAAAAGTGTTGCCCAACATGTTACTTGAATTAGCCATTGAAACTGCAAATGCAATATGAAAAAAATAATACATTGGAAAACGTCATTCAACATTTCGAGTATATTATGTACTAAGTAACTTTGTTATGTGCATCTTTTCAGTATTGAAGGATGCTATTCGTAAATAGCTGTGCATTAATTTTATTTTTATTATAAATAACAATTATTTTAATTCATTAAAAATAAAAGAAATGCTTTTCTTAAGGACAGTGTTGTTCATTACGTTCCACATTTCTGAACGTTTGAACTAGTTTATGACCAGTGTCTGCCAAAACTAGAAATTGGTACGTGTCGTATAAATTTCAAGCATTTAGATTCCTAAGGATCTAAGTATCAAGAACTACGTTTCTAGCAAACAGTATAAGAAGATTTCTAGAGAATGTCTGCGAAACAAGGTTGTTGCTAACCGATCCGGTGGCGGATATTGCTAAGGCAGTTGTGCCGTAGCGATCTCAGACTGAAGGATCGCGGAATCACGTCCCGCTTCGGTCATGGTTGTATTGTGTTCGTCCTTTCACCCCTATCATCATCATATCGTGCCATCCTCACAGTTACCATACCGTTACAAACAATAGTGGTCGCTAATGACAAAGAATAGACGTTGATGCGACCTTATATAACAAAAAAAGTTGGAGGCAGTTTCAGCGCTATCTATTGATATTGTTTTGCTACTAACACGACTTCCACTGGCCCGTAGACCCTTCGGCATATCTTTATCCTGGACACACAGATGCATTTAAAATTATCAGCTCGAAAATCATGGTTTTGGTACAGGCCGTTATGACCGTAAAAGCTTTGTTATCATGGATAGTACCTTCCGTATATAATATGCTAAGGGAAGATGACGGTTTTATACCGGTTTATGACTACGCAAAACTCCGAACGTTGGCCACTACTGGATTCGTAATTCTCTTTTAGGGCTGCATTAAACAGTTTTAAAGCAAATAAATAAATAAATAAATAAATAAATAAATAAATAAATAAATAAATAAATAAATAAATAAATAAAGTACGAAGTTTATGGAAGGGTGAGCTCGTGGGAATATTCCGCCCTTTTTAAATCATTGTTTTAAAAGTGAAAATAGCTTAATGCTGGACTCAAATTCAAGCGTTTTAGTCAATCCGTGCCTCGAAGTGAGTGTCATTTCAGAGTTATGCTACGTGATAAAGTTCGCACGATTTCTCTGGGCACTCGAGGGCTGTAGAAGTGCGAGCGGGACACACGAGAATACGTAGTAGAATATTGGAAAGGGAAGCAGTAAGAATATTGTTCCATGGTAAAGCCTTCAACGCATAATAATCCTATTCAGAAAACATCGGATAGCCTAATGCGAGCTAGAGATTGCTATCACTCAGGAATTTGTTATGCCTGCTTTTGTTTGTTTAATTGGTTTTCGTGTGAGCTTTCTTTCACGAAGTGAAATGAAACTTTTTTGCACCGAAGCTGCCCGTCGAAAAGTTAGGATGTCGAATTTGAGACGACATTCAGTGTAGCTGTCTCCTCTGTGAAGTCAGTCAAAAGCACAGTTACCTCGCGCGAACTCTTACTTACTTGCGTTGCGTGCGAATGTTACTTGCGTTGCGTGTGTTGCCGGTGGGATGTGCCCTTGCTTTTACCCCCTTTCCACAATTTACGTCATTTTTTTCATCTTAAATGTTTGAAGCACACTTAAGAGTTTGTGTGGGCTATAGTTTCTTGCGAATAGTTTAATTCCAACATCTTTCCTTAATGTATTATACGATGCGGTTGGAACCAGAGTGAGCCATCCCCACCTAAGTGCAACCTGACGTAAAAACCTGTCAAAGAGGTGGCAGTTGTCAGCTGCCGCCAGTTGAAGGGCTTGTTTCTTACATTACCCTGGCCTGTTCGGTACTGTCTTCTTATTGCAGCTGTTAGCATTACATCTGACTTATGGGAGAAGGCTTAACATAGCTTTATGTAAAATTAGGGTGTCCCACTCTGATTCTAACTGATATATATATATATATATATATATATATATATATATATATATAGGTAAGTACCTAAACCCGGGCCCCATTTTGTTTTCGAATTTTTTAATTCCGGTTTTTTGCACAATGAAATCAAAATATTTGAAATGCGAATCTTCCTTATTTATACAAATGTATTCACCTTCAAATTATTAGCCTAGTAGTTTCAAAGTAGAATAATGTTTTCGTAAAGATTGCATTTTTTGGATGTATAAAAGTTTCTTAATGTCAGCCTTTACAAACTTTTTAATAAATGGGTAAAACAAAATCAGAAAAACAGCATGTAGATTGAAATCAGTATAATTTTACAATGATACAAGTTTAACATCTTATACATAAGAAAGTGTCTTCCACATAATCTATATATCCAAATGCACAAATATGTAACATAGATGCAACTTTTTTCGCGCTCGTACATTCTACTTGAGCCCAGAGTGAACACATTAGCCATATCAGCCGAAGTTCTCCTACAGCTTTCAGAAAATTTACACTGTAAAATATTGCGTCTTCTTCACCCGAGAGTGAAGCTCTTGTACTGTTTGTTGAAATATGAATTAGGAAAGTATTCGAAAAAAATCTGAATTTCTTGTTTAATTTCCAGCCTGGGAAAATGCAAGGAACGTGAGAGAACTAGCAAGAAATCCGTAGGAAACATGTAGGGAATATGTAGGCAACATCGTGCGAACGTCCGAGGAAACATGCGGAGAAAGTGCTAGGGATATGGGGAGGGGGCGATATGGTCCCGGCGTTTGTTCTTTTCCGAATATTACAAAATGAGGCAATTTTGTATCTTCCATTTTTGGAAATTGAGCTCGTGTGGCTGCTTCGACTTGACTGGTATTCAGAAACGAAACCAGAATCACAAAATCAGGTGAAATTAAATTGAATATTTGATATTTTCTGCAAATTTTACTCAACGCTCAGAAACATTAGAATTTTACTCAACGCGCATTTACCGAGTCTATGAAGCTGTAACTAACAGTTAAGGGACTGGCCGTTGAATATTGGAATGTTATGAAGATTTTTTCGCTTTTAGAACAATGAACAGCAACATCAGTGTGGAATGTTCAAACGGGGTGAACTAATGCATTTAAATTGAACTAGGCGCGGAGCTACGGGGGGGGGGGATCCCCCCCTCATTTTTTACTAAATATTAATTTTAACTTCTCACTAAACATTCAAGTAAGTAGTGGTGCTAAAAT